CCCCCCCCCACACCCAGGACACAGAATGCCGAGCTCCAACGCCAGCTCACCCTGGCCCATGATCACATCCGCCTACTCCAAGGAGTTCAACCCCTACCTCCCCACCTCGCGGCATAGCCTGCTGCCCCTTTCATCTATCCACAGCATCAGACACAGGCCGCTGCGATGCATTTCTCACTCCCATCACCAGCCACCACGATGTGTCAGGGACCTTTACCCCGGCTCCCCGCTCTTTCGAGTGGTTCTGCTGGTGCCACTACTTCCTCTGTCCTCTTGTCACAATCGGCTCTCCCTCTCCCTACCCACTATCAGCCACCAACCTATGTTCCACAGTTTCGACGGGATCACCTTCCACAGTTTGACGGCAGGTCCTCAGAGCTCCAAGGATGGATCACTACTGCTGAGGAGCAGCTTCGCTACCATGGTGTTGCCATGGAACTGTGGCCCGTCGAGATGTCCTCTCGCTGTACAGGTCGTGCAGCCTCCGCCTGGCGCAACTTCCTCGCCCTCCGCTCACAGCGCGGCGTACATGAGGGCATGTCTTACCCCGAGTTTCGCGACTTCCTTCAGCAGTACTTTTCTCGCCCTGTGTTCGTGTGGCTGAGATTAGATGGCTTGGTTGCGACACTGCCTTAGAGTCATACATCATGGCATTCCACCGTGTACGCGCCCAGATTTCCATCACAGCCATATCCGAGGACGCCATGATCCAGCGATTTCGGGCAGGCCTACCCCAACCATTCCAGTTGCAGATGCTGGTATATTCGATCCCCACCTTGCCAGAGGCTTTCAACATTGCTCGGGCCATTCATCTCACTTATGCCCCACTAGTTGGCCCCGCGCCTCAGCCCGCCGCTGCCCACTCTGCTACTACTGCAGCCTCTCGCCCCTCCCAGCCTCGACACTCCTCCACATACCGTCGTGGCCCTCGTAGAGGCTCTGGACGATCCCTCTCTCGTCGCTTGCATGCGTTGCTTCGTCACCCGTCGAGCATTGATGATGGCACTGCCTCAGATGACTCTGTGAGTGACCCCGATCAGGAAACCGACCCTCAGTCCCCCACGGAGGATGACGCCTTTTCCCATGACGACCGTCTTGTCCGGGCCCTTTTCGCCCTCTTCCGACGCTAGCCTTCATCATCCAGGACTCGCTCTACGGCCACTCAACTACCCCTCCCAACGAGCTTTGTGTTCCCTCGCAGCCACCTGACCATCGCTGAGAGTGAGGACCTTCGCACACGAGGCATTTGCACCCGCTGCCGCCTCGCCGGGCATACCTCCTCTACCTGCCCGTACGCGGACGCCCTCCAGAGTCACTTTGCACAGCAGGCCCACCCTCAGGCTGTTCCCCCCGTCTCGACCTCCAGCCCCTCAGCCACCTAGCGGCGATCTCCCGCCCCGCTGATCCTCCCACAGTAGCAGGCATACCCGCCCGCGATTCTACCTTCGCCCCGCTTGCTGCTCTTTCTGAGGACTTGGACCTGACGTCATCGTTGGTCGCTTCTAGCGTTGTTGACCCACTCTCCAGTACCTCCACTTCTTCGCCTAGCATCCCTCATGATCCTCCTCCTCCTCGCCCTCCTACTAGACGTGATCTTCGCACGGCGCGCTGCAGTGCTTCCCTCATTGCAGCCGAGGATATCATTGACTTCCTGGACCTTGAGTGTGTTAAGGTCCACTAGGAACGTCTCCGCCTTAAAGAGCGCACCCTGTCCGTAATGTCTCAGCGCCTACACAACCCCGACCGCACCTTACCGATTATTCCAGTGCGCCTCGGGACCTCTACTAGAGTGTATCGCGCACTATGGGACTCGGGCTCTACTGGCGACTTCATTCATCCTCGCGTAGTTAAGGAGGCATCTCTCTATACATCCGCCTACCCTTCCACTGTCACTGTCACGCTTGGCGACAACCAGGCCAAATCATTCGTCGATTCAGTGGTGCCTAATCTTCCATTCTCCTTCCCCTTGCGGATGCCCCACAGCCTTCGCAAGGCCCCTCGGTTCCACGACCAGTGGACCTTCGACGTCATGGAAACCCTATATGATCTTGTTCTCGGCACTGCCTACTCCCATCAGTTCGCCCATGCTGGCCCCGATTGGACCCACAACGACCTCGTCCTCGACACCAAGGATGGGAAGCAGTACCGTATTCCGTTGTTGGGCAAATCGGACTCTACACCCCCCTCTCCTATCAATGTTGCCATCTTGACACCAACTCAGTTCCACCACAAACTTCATCAGCCTGATGCCGAACTCTACATTGTCGACATCACGGATCTCCTTGTCTGTAACTCTATGCATCAGGACGCTGAGTTGGTCGAGCTCAACCCACCACTCCCTGAGCCTCCCGAGCCATCTGATCCTTCAGACCCCTCAACCCCCTCCACCCCTGCTACCTCATCTCACCTTCTTGCATCTTGTTCCACGGAGGCGCCATCGGTACCTATTCCCATACCGACTCCTTCCACCCCTGCTTCAGACGTCGCTGCAGCCGAGGAGTTTGAAAACCTCCTATCGACTTTGCAGCCTAATGTTGCGGCCCTCCTTCGTGAGTATCACGATGTTTTTCCTCCGACTGTCTCTTATAGCAGCATTCCTCCTATGCACGATATCGAGCACCACATCCGGCTCGAACCTAACTACCGTATTCAGCATCGCGCCCCATATCGCCTCTCGGTCCCGAAAGCCCAGAAACTTAAACGCCAAATTGACGAGCTGCTTCGTCAGGGCTTCATTAAACCGAGTACGTCCCCATGGAGTGCACATGTCCTCTTCGATCGCAAGAAGGATGGCACTCTCCGCCCCTGCCTCGGTTACCGCGGTCTCAACGAGTATGCGGTCAGAAACAGTTACCCTATGCCCCGTGCGGATGATCTGTTCGACCGCCTCTCCGGCCACCACTTTTTCACGAAGATCGATCTTTGTAGCGGATATCACCTGATCCGCGTAGCCGAGGAGGACCAGCCTAAGACCGCTTTCCGTTCTCGTTTTGGGCATTACGAGTTTAGCGTCATGCCTTTCGGTCTCCGTAATGCTCCTGCCACCTTCCAGACGGCTATGAACACGATGTTCCAAGACCTCCTTGAGGACTGGGTTCTGGTCTACATTGACGACATCCTGGTCTACAGTCATACCTTAGAGGAGCATCTGACCCACCTTTGCACTGTCCTCCAGTGATTACGCGACCATGGGTTTTATGCGAAGCTCTCCAAATGCCACTTCACTCAAATCAAAGTCGACTTCCTTGGGCATCAGGTCTCCGAGCACGGACTCCACATGGACGACTCGAAGATTCAGGCCATTGTCGACTGGCCCACTCCTACCTCTCTTCCTGCGCTGCGTAGTTTCCTTGGGTTGACCAATTACTATGGTCATTTTCTTAAAAACTACGCGCAGTATTCCTCCCAGCTTACCCTTCTGACCCGCGGACGTCTACCTTTTCATTGGACCCCGGCTCACGAGGATGCTTTCCGCTCTCTCAAGCGGCTTGTTACGTCAGCTCCTGTCTTACACTTGCCCGACTACTCTCGTTCATTCATCGTCACCACCGACGCATCTGACTTCGCTATTGGAGTTGTTCTCTCCCAGATCTATCCAGCCCCCTCTACTTCTCCCGATTCCACAGAGTCTCGCCTCCCTCGCATTCCTCGCTTTCCTCCTCCACCTCCAGCGACTGCGCCTCATCTTGAATCCATCGAGCCCACCCCCTCAGGGGCCCCTCCCCCTTATATTCCTGACGTCGCTGATGACGGTACAGTCGAGTCTCGAGATGGAGAGTGTAAGGTTGCTTATCTATCTCGACAGCTACTTCCCGCTGAGCATAACTACACTGCCGATGAGCGTGAGGTCCTTGCGCTGGTCTACGTTGTTAAGAAGTGGCGTCATCATTTGCACGGTCATACTTTCACCGTTTTGATGGACAACTCTGTCCTCGCCGCCTTCCAGACGAAGCCTAAGCTCACTTCTCGCTAGGCTCGTTGGTGGCGTGACCTTTCGGAGTTCCACTTCACCATCAAGAAGATTTCTGGCGAAAGCAATCGTGTTGCAGATGCCTTATCCCGCCGCCCCGACCTTCAGTGCGAGGATCGTCAGCTATCTGCTATCTTAGCTCCCACCATCCACCCCGCCTTTCTAGATGAGTATCGCCGCGCATACACCCAGTGCCCTAAGTTTCAGTCCATCCCTAACTTCCAGCTTGATCCCTCTGGACTCATATACTGGCTTGGTCGCCAAGGTACCCGTACTCCTCGCTTATGTGTGCCTTCTACTGGCCAGCTCCACGTTCGGGCTGTCGCTGAGTGTCATGACCAGCGCGCCGCCGGTCATCTCGGTGTCTTCAAGACACTTGACCGCCTCTACCGCCATTACTACTGGGAGCACCGTCATCCTTTCACTAAGGAGTACGTTCGCACCTGCAGGATCTGCCAGGAGGCCAACATTCCCAACCCCCCCCCCTATGGTCTTCTTCAGCCCTTACCCATTCCCACTCAGCGTTGGACTTTTGTCTCTATGGACTTCATCGGTCCTCTTCGTCCCTCTACCCCATGAGGCCACGACGCCATCTTCGTCGTTGTCTGTCGGTTGACTAAGCATGCTCACTTCCTCCCTTGCAAGTATGCTAGTTCAGCCAAAGACATCGCCTCCCTATACTTCAACCGTATTGCCATCCATCACGGTCTTCCCACTAGCATCGTCTCTGATCGCGATCCCCGCTTTACTTCTCATTTCTCCTATCACCCCCAGTCAGATGGACAGACCGATGTCACCAACAAAACTCTTGGGAGCATCCTCAAGAAGTTTGTTGAGAATGACTCTGATTGGGATCTGCATCTTGCTCACGCAGAGATTGCTTATAACCATGCTATTTCCCCTGCCACTGGCATGTCTCCCTACTACTGACTTGGGATACCATCCCCGTGTCCCATCTGACCTTCTTCGTCCATCTTAGATCCGTCCCGACACCAAATGCCCTGCCCTCGATGACTGGGTAAAGGAGATGGATGTGCTCCTTAGCAAAGCTCGCGAAAGCATTGCTCACTCCCAGACTCACATGGCCACTCGCGCTAACCGCTCTCGCATCAACCATCCCTTCAAAGTTGGCGACGAGGTTCTTGTTGACGCACGTCACTTCCAGCCCGATGCTGACACACTTCGGAAATTCAGACGTCGATATATTGGACCATGCACCATTCTTGCACCTGCCTGACCCAATCACGAGTGTCCGGTGAGCTTCAAATTGAAGCTTCCCGATTCCATGTACCGCGCTAACTTACATGATGTGTTCCATGTATCTCTTTTGCGCCCCTTCAGACGGTCTCCCCTCGAGTTCCATAGTCGACCTTACCCTCGCCCCTCTCCTATCATCATTGAGGGTCACGAGGAGTTTGTCGTCTCTGATATTGCGTCCCGGCGTATGACTGATGGTGACCCTCCCCGCCTCGAGTATCTCGTTCGATGGAAGGGTTATCCTGACGAGGAGTCTACTTGGGAGCCTCATGAGCACCTGAAGCATGCTATGACTTTCGTGCATGCTTACGATCGTGCTCATCCTTTCCCTTCATCATCGTCCCCTCCTACTTCTTGTCCTTCTACTACTGACCCTTCTACCTCTGCGACCACTAACATTCCCCCTCCTCCATCAATGGGTCCGCCTGCTCCACTGGTACCCGCCTCAGGTCCTCCTTCCCTTGTGGCTGGGGTTCCGTCTGTTGTTGCAGTTCATCCCTCTCGACCTCAGCGTACCCATCGACTTCCTTCTCGTTTTCGTGACTGATCTATATCCCCCATATGCTCTCTATCCGTTACCATTCCTGGACACTTATGCAGCAGCTCCCGGTTTCAGCTTCTACAGTCGGCTCCTACTTCGGCTTTTACATTCGACTTTCGACCTCAGTGCCGCTCTTCAGTACCAGAGTATCTGTCGCTTTGTTCCAGACTTCTACTCGGTTCTTGCGGTACTCCTACTTCATCCAGGCTACTTTGGTTCGACTTCAGTCTCGACACTCATCAGTTGGACTACTTCACTTTTTCGGCTATAGAGTTCCCTTCATTCCCACCTATCCACCACCCTGGAGCTTACCCCTCAGTCGCATGATGACCCCTATTTTCCCTGTCTATGTGGGTGTGTCCGTTCGCCGCCCTTCTGCCTTACCTTATGCTGCGTGCCCTCCTCTGGAGTGTACGTTTTCCTTGCTCGCGGCTTCTGGCCACATGTCTATGCCGGCATAACCCTCTCTCCTTCCAGGCTCACCTTCCGTGTGCTCCCTTGTGTGAGTGCCCTTCCATCCTTTCAGCTGGCAGTACCAGTTTGATGGTTTCCATTGAGCCCGGTGTCGTGCTGTTACTCCCCCTCTGAGCCTGATGACCCCTTACCTGGTTGTGTGGGTGCCCCCTTGGAGTTTACTCTGAGAGCTGTACCTGCCGCCTTCCCACCCATTCCTACCTCTGCCATGCGACTGAGTCCCTCTCTCTTTTCTTCAGGTATGGTGCATTGTGTACAGGGCACGTGAGACTGTGCCACATTCGTTTTTGACCTAGGACAGTGGTTTAGTTATTCTTTGGCCTTTAGGGCCCCGGTGTTGATTTATATTCAGCCTATTTGGCTCATCAGACATTTTTTCTCTTTCTTGGCCGACATAGGTCAGACATTTTTCTCTTTCTTGGCCGACACAGGTCAGACATTTTTCCTCTTTCTTGGCCGACACAGGTCAGACATTTTTCTACTTTTTGGGTCGACACAGACCAGACATTATGCTATAGATTAGGCTTGAGGCTTAGTCTGCATTGCATTCCTTTTCCTGCATGGAGCCTGCTCCGCATCTAGGATTGTTTCTTTTGTCGTTCCTTTTGGGTTTCAGCTATTTCAGCGGATAGCGTGTTTGATGTATCGCCTGATCCATTCACAGGTCCGAGGATCGTGTAGCGGTACCCCTACGGCCCGGCAGTGAGGCCGGACCAGTCTCAGGCCGTCGGCCTGACCCTGGTCCGGTCGGTACCAGGTTGCTCCGCTGCTGGACCTAGGCCGGTATATCACACCGGCCTAGGCCCAAGGCGCGAGGTTCATTCATTCTGTTTGTTCATTCGTTCATTGTCGGACTGGACCTTCACTCAGCTGCTGCTTCCTGTGTGTGCCCATCTCTCTCTCTCTCTCTCTCTCTCTCTCTCTCTCTCTCTCTCTCTCTCTCTCTCTCTCTCTCTCTTTCTCT